ATAGCTCGGAGTTATTGCCAAACGGAAAGTAAGAATGCTCGGCACAAGTTAATTACATATGAAAAAAAATTAAAAAAATAAAAAATAAAAATAAAATAAAAATAAATAATTAAGAAAATAATAACAATAAATAAATAAAAATTTATTCCATAAGAAGATGAATAATGCTTAGCTCGAAGCTAATGCCAAAAGGAAAGTAAGTATGCTTACGTCAAAGCTAATGACAAAAGGAAAGTAAGAATGCTTAGCTCAAAGCTAATGCCAAAAGGAAATAAGAATGCTTAGCAAAAGCAAATTCCATAAGGATTGGAATAATGCTTAGCTCGAAGCTAATGCCAAACGAAAAGTAAGAATGCTTAGCACATGATTATTTTTACATTTATTTATTTATTTTTATTTTATTTTTAGTTTAAATTTTTAACTTTATTTTTTTAAATGATAAATACAAATTATAAATAAAAATAAAAAATAAATAAAATAAATATACAATAAATAAATAAATGAACATAAAAATTACGTAAGAAGAGAAAGAATGCTTAGCTCAAAGCTAATGCCAAAAGGAAAGTATGAATGCTTAGCACAAGCTAATCACAAAAGGAAAATAATAATGCTTAGCTCGAAACTAAATCCAAAAGGAAAATAAAAATGGTAGGCAAAAGTTAATTCCATAAGAAGAGGATACATGCTTAGCTCGAAGCTAATCCTAAAAGGAATGTAAGAATGATTAGCAGAAGCAAATTCCACAAGAAGGACGAATAATACTAAGCTCGAAGCTAATGCCAAAAGGAAAATAAGAATGCTTAGCTTGAAGGTAATGCCAAATGGAAAGTACGAATGCTTAGTCCTAGCTAATTGCATAAGAAAAAAATATAAAATATAAAATATAAATTAAAATTAAAACTAAAATAACAAAATATAATAAATATATAAAAAAATAATAAAAAAATAAACAAAAAAAGAAGAATAATGCTTAGCTCGAAGCTAATGCCAAATAGAATGTAAGAATGCTTAGCATAAGCAAATTCCATAAGAAGAGGAATAATGCTTAGCTCGAAGCTTTCAAAAGGAAAGTGAGAATTCTTAGCACAAGTTAATTCCATAGTGAGAGGAATAATGTTAAGCTTGAAACTAATGCCAAGATGAAAGTAAGAATGCTTAGGACAAGCTAATGCCAAAAGGAAAATACGATTGCTTACGTCAAAGCTAATGCCAAAAGGAAATAAGAATGCTTAGCAAAAGCAAATTACATAAAGAGAGGAAGAATGTTTAGCTCGAAGCTAATGCTAAAAGAAAAGTAAGAATGGTTAGCACAAGCTAATTCCATGAGACGAGGAATAATGCTTACCTCGTAGCTAATGCCAAAGGTCAAGTAAGAATACGTACCACAAGCTAATTCCATGAGGAGAGGAACAATGCTTAGCTCAAAGCTAATGCAAATAGTAAAGTAATAATACTAAGCTCGACGCTAATGCCAAAAGGAAAACAAGAATGCTTAGCTCGAAACTGATGCCAAACAGAAACTACGAATGTTTAGTCCAAGCTAATTCCAAAGAAAAAAAAAAGAAAATATAAAATATAAATTAAAATAAAAATAAAAATAAAAAATATAATAAATATATATATATATATATATATATATATATATATATATATATATATATATATATATATATATATATATATATATATATATATATATATATATATATATATATATATATATATATATATATATATATATATATATACAAGAAGAAATAAATAAAAAAATAAATGAACACAAAAAGCTAATTTCGAAAGAAGAGGAGTAATGCATCTCGAAGGTAATGGCAAAAAGAAAGTAAGAATGCTTAGCATAAGAAAATTCCATAAGAAGAGGAATAACTCTTAGCTCAAAGCTTTCAAAAGGAAAGTGAGAATTCTTAGCACAAGTTAATTCCACAAGAAGAGGAATAATGCTTAGCTCAAAGCCAATGCAAAAAAGAAAGAAGAATACTTACCATAAGCAAATTCCATAAGGAGAGAAGAATGCTTAGCTTGAAGCTAATATCAAAAGGAAAGTAAGAATGATTAGAATAATCAAATTCCATAAGGAGAGGAATAATACTTAGCTCGAAGGTAATGAATGCAAAAAGGAAAGTAAGAATGCTTAGCTCAAAGCTGAATCCAAAAGGAAATAAGAATGTTTGGCATAAGCAAATTCCATAAGAAGAGAAAGAATGCTTTGCTCGAAGCTAAGGCCGAACGGAAATTAAGAATGCTTAGCACAAGCTAATTTTGTAAGAATAAAAAAAATAACAAAATAAAAATAAATAAACTAATTCCACGAGAAGAGGAATAATGCTTAGCTCGAAGCTAATGCCAAAAGGAAAGTAAGAATGCTTAGCTCGAAGCTAATGCCAAATGGAAAGTAAGAATGCTTAGCACATGCTAATTCCACATGAATAAAAAAACTAAAAAATAAATCAAAACAAATAAATAAAAAAAAATTCTAATAAAACAATAAATAAATAAATAACAAAATAAATAAATAAAAAAAATAATTCTATAAGAAAAGGAAGAATGCTTGGCTCGAAACTAATGTCAAAAGGAAAGAAAGAATGCGTAGCTCGAAGCTAATTCCATATGAATAAAAAACTAAAAATAAAAATAAATAAAAAATAACTAATAATAATAAAAAAATAAGTAAATAAATAAATAAATAAATAAATAAAAACTAATTACATAAGAAGAGGAATAATGGTTAGATTGAAGCTAATGCCAAAATAAAAGTAAGAATGCTTATCTCGGAGCTAATGCCAAACAGAAAGTAAAAATGCTCGGCACACGCTAATTCCATAAGAAAAATAAAATTAAATAAATTAAATAAAAACTAAAACTAAAATTAAATTAAATAAATAAAATAAAAATAAAAATAAAAATAATAATAAAATAACTAAATAAATAAAAATTATTCCATAAGAAGAAGGATAATGCTTAGCTCGAAGCTAATGCCAAAATGAAAGTAAGAATGCTTAGGACAAGCTAATGACAAAAGGAAAGTAAATTTTTTTAGCACAAAGCTAATGCCAAAAGGAAATAAGAATGCTTAGCAAAAGCAAATTCCATACGGATAGGAATAATGATTAGCTCGAAGCTAATGCCAAACGGAAAGTAAGAATGCTTAGCACATGATAATATTTATTTTTATTTATTTATTTTTATTTGATTTTTAGTTTTCATTTTTAATTTTATTTTTTTAATTAAAATACGAAACATAAATAAAATAAATAAATGAACATAAAAAGAAAATCCATAAGGAGATGAAGAATGATTAGCTCGAGGCTAATGCCAAAAGGAAAGTAATAATATACCTAAATAGGTCGGCCCAATGGGCCCTCAAATTTATCTACTAATTAGGCCCACTACAAGAAAGCCCAAACACCTTCAAAGTAAGGCTTGGGCCCAACAAAGTAAGCCCAACCCAATCACCGATATATAAATAGATGTTTTACTCATTTGTTAAGGTACGTTTTCATTATTGACCAACAAGCTAGAGTTTAATTCTCTCTACCATCTCCACAATCCGTACATCTGACTTGAGCGTCGGAGGGCTTTACGCCGGATCAACCCCCGGCGTAGTTCACGTGTGTTCATTTCGCAGGGACCTCAGGATCATCAAGTTGTCAAGTTACTGATCCGCTTTGCTCTCCCAGTTCATTTTCTACACCACCCTAGGTGAGCTATATTTTAGCATCATCATTTTGGCGCCGTCTGTGGGAACGACGCAAACCAGATCACGTAGCCAACAAGATCCTCCCAGTCCGCGGAGAGAAAATGACACAACTAATAACCTCCCAGTCCGTGGAGGATCTGGCATGCCACCTCCTCCACGTGCCGCGGAGCCACCTCCTTGACGTGCCGCGGAGCCACCTCCTCCACGTGCTGCAGATCCACCTCGCGAGGTTCAGGTGATCCCTCCTCGGGACCCACCACTCGCCGATCCATCACTCCCTGCTCCTCGAACGGTTCAAATAACCGAGGACGCGCTCCAACGCATGATAACAGAAGCCTCAACTCGCGCCGCCACGGAGGCCGTAACTCAATATATCGCCACGATGGGAGAAAACGCTCTCAATGCGATACCAGCGCCAGCTCCACCTATAGTGCCACATGTGGCCCCACCGCCAATCCAGAATCAAATAAGTGTCTCCTCCTCTACCTCGGACCCACGGTCCCGGGCGCAGCTATCTACTAATCACAAAGAGGCACAACCCAGACAGCAGCGTCAGCGCTCACCCCCACGGGGGAATGCGTCACCACAGAGAGTCCCTCTCTTTAATGAGGGAGCAGGCGAGGTAAACAGCAGAATGTCTCGCCAAAATCTTTTCCCCCAACCAAATAATCTAATGGGTGAAAGAATGCCTGTACCAACAAGACGCAGTCCCTTCACCATAGACATTCTCAACGAGGTATTACCTCAAGGAGTGAAGATCTCGGGGTTACCTCAATTTGAAGGGACCACCGACCCACAGGAGCACATAGAGAAATTCAGTGCCATGACAGATTTATATGGCCCGACGGATGCTGCAATGTGCAACATGTTCCGCCCCACTCTCAACAAGAGGGCAATGAATTGGTTCAACTCTCTACCCATAGGGTCGATTGACACCTTCGCTCGGTTGTCAACCCGATTCACCAACCAATTCGCCATCAACAAACAATATGCCAAGACCCCAGCTAATCTTTTCTCTGTAGTACAGAGAGATAACGAAATGCTTCGGAAATACATTAAGCGTTTCGTAGAAGCCGTCCATGAAGTCCCCAGTGTAGGGCAAGACATGCTCTCCGGGATTATGCAGCAGAACTTGAAACCGGGTAGATTCAAATAATCTATCGCCGGAAGACCCCCAGGCAACCTAGAGGAGTTGCTGAATCGAGCCGAAAAATACGTCCGGATAGAGGAAGCCTCTACCCATGCTCCTCCTAAAAGGAAAAGGGAAGATGACTGTCAGGACAATATGAGGCGCGATAATCAACGTCCACCACTTCCACCTCAAGGCCAACCCTCTTCCTCCTACAATAGGTTCACTCCGCTAAACGCTCGCCTCACTGAAATCCTTCACGTGATAGAACAGAAAGGTTTAACAGAGCCTCTACGTCCTATGCAGCCAAATGCAAAGCGAGAAAAGTCGGATCGTTATTGTGGATTCCATAAGCATAGAGGGCATACTACGGAGGAATGTGCACAACTCAAAGTGGCGATTGAGAGGCTGATCAAACAGGGCCATTTAGGCGAATACATTGATAAGCCTCGAAATAAGCGCCGTGATGATCCTCCACGCCGAGATAATAATCGAGATCAACAGCAAAGGCGAGAGGATAAGGGTCATCGACGCGACCTAGATAACAACGATAACCAACCTACCCGGGGAATCATCTTCTTTATCTCCGGAGGACCAGCGGGTGGCGATTCACAAAATGCAAAACGCACCCTCGCTCGATCAGCACGTATGAATCAAGAACGTGCTTCTCCATCCGCACGCATCTATCAAATACGAAGACCTGATCATAGCATAGTCTTCAACTCCTCCGACCTTGAAGATCCAGACGAAGATCATGTCGATGCGTTGGTAGTAACAACAACAGTGGCCAACTTCTTGGTTAAGAAGATATTAGTGGACGGTGGGAGCTCAGCTGACATCATGTACCTCCACGCTTTAAAGCAGCTGGGCATAGATAATGCCCTGTTTAGTCGCATCTCCACACGCTTGAAAGGATTCAAAGGAGAATCAGAGAAAAAGAAAAGAGTTGCAATTAGGAAAATAAAATCAAATTAGAAGAGAGAATCCCTGAACATCTTTGGTAGTGTACGTCCACGAAGTCGAGCATAACTTTCTCACCCGGACTCCAAATCAACTGGTTCCGGCGCCATAAGAAAGCTATTTCAGCTGGCTACAATTCTTGTTTAATGGCAAAAATCCAAATTCGGACTCGAACATGGTTAAAATTGGATTCCAAAAGCGATCTTGAAAACACGTACTACAGTTCGAGGACATGATTGCGCATCAAGAAACGTGCACAAAAACACTCGCTAGAAAGATACGCACATAAGTAAGAGTACAAAAGCACGCACAAAAGTACTCACGAAAATGCGCATTCGCCAAAAGGATCATGAAAATGCAAACTACAATCCTAGGACATTAATACAAATCAACAAACATGCACAAGCACACTCGCTCAAATGGACATGCACAAACGTACATGTAAAAAAACATGCGCAAAAGTGCATTCGCAACAACGTTTTTTAAAAACACGAACTACAATACTAAGACTTTAATACGCATTAACAAACAACAGCAAAAATAGTAGAAAAAAAAGATAGAGTGGAGTGTAGAAATAAAACTCTACGTTTACGTTTACGTGGATTTTTTTTCGGATTAATATATATTTATGTTTTAATTAGTGGATTTGGTATCTAATGGGTACAATTCAAAACTTAGGAGTTTGTTATCTTATGGGTACAATTCAAAAATTAGGAGTCCAGGAAGCAAAAATGATCAAAGAGTAAGAAAAGAGTTGCAATTAGGAAAAAAAATCAAATTAGAAAAGAGAATCCCTCAACATCTTTGGTAGTGTACGTCCACGAAGTCAAGCATAACTTTCTCATACGGACTCCAAATCAACTGGTTCCGCAGCATGATAAAGTTATTTCAGCTGTCTACAATTCCGGTCTAATGGCAAAAATCAAAATTCGGACTTGAACACGGTCAAAATTGGATTCCAAATGCGATGATGAAAACAAGTACTACAGTTCGAGGACATGAATGCGCATCAAGAAACGTGCACAAAAACACTCGCTAGAAAGATACGCACATAAGTAAGAGTACAAAAGCATGCACAAAAGTACTCACGCAAATGCGCATTCGCAAAAAAGATCATGAAAACGCAAACTACAATCCTAGGACATTAATACAAATCAACAAACATGCACAAGCACACTCGCTCAAATGGACATGCACAAACGTTCATGTAAAAAAACATGCGCAAAAGTGCATTCGCAACAACGTTCTTAAAAATACGAACTACAATACTAAGACTATAATATGCATCAACAAACAGAAACAAAAACAGTAGATAAAAAAGATCGAGTTGAGTGTAGAAATAAACAGTACGTTTACGTTTACATGGATTTTTTTTTCGGATTAATTTATATTTCTGTTTTAATTGGTGGATTTTGTATCTTATGGGTACAATTCAAAAATTACGTGTGCAGGAAGCAAAAATGATCAAAGAAAAATAAAAGTGTTGCAATTAGGAAAATAAAATCAAATAAGAAGAGAGAATCCCTCAACATCTTTGGTAGTGTACAAGCACGAAGTCGAGCATAACTTTCTCATCTCGACTCCAAATCAACTGGATCCGGCAGCATTAGAAAGCTATTTCAGCTGGCTACAATTCATGTGTAACGGGAAAAATCCAAATTTGGACTTGAACATGGTCAAAATTGGATTCCAAAAGCGATCATGAAAACACGTACTAGAGTTCGAGGACATGAATGCGCATCAAGAAACGTGCACAAAATCACTCGCTAGAAAGATACGCACATAAGTAAGAGTACAAAAGCATGCACAAAAGTACTCACGCAATTGCGCATTCGCAAAAAGGATCATGAAAACGCATACTACAATCATAGGACATTAATACAAATCAACAAACATGCACAAGCACACACGCTCAAATGGACATGCACAAACGTACATGTAAAAAAACATGCGCAAAAGTGCATTCGCAACAATGTTCTTAAAAACACGAACTACAATACAAGGACTTTTAACGCATTAACAAACAACAGCAAAAACACTAGATAAAAAACTCTACGTTTACGTTTACGTTGATTTTTTTTCGGATTAATTATATTTCTATTTTAATTGGTGGATTTGGTATGTTATGGGTACAAATAAAAAATTAGGTGTCCATGAAGCAAAAAATATCAAAGAAAAAGAAAAGAGTTGCAATTAGGAAAATAAAATCAAATTAGAAAAGAGAATCCCTCAACATCTTTGGTAGTGTACGTCAATGAAATCGAGCATAACTTTCTCATCCGGACTCTAAATAAACTGGTTCCGACGGCATTAGAAAGCTATTTCAGCTGGCTACAATTCCTGTCCAACGGCAACAATCCAAATTCGGGCTCAAACATGGTCAAAATTGGATTCCAAAAGCGATCCTGAAAACACGTACTACAGTTCGAGGACATGAATGCGCATCAAGAAACGCGCTAAAAAACACTCGCTAGAAAGATACGCACATAAGTAAGTGTACAAAAGCATGCCCAACAGTACTCACGCAAAAGTGCATTCGCAAAAAGGATCATGAAAACAAAAACTAAAATCCTAGGACATTAATACAAATCAACACATGCACAAGCACACTCGCTCAAATGGACATGCACAAACGTACATGTAAAAAAACATCCGCAAAAGTGGATTTGCAACAACGTTCTTAAAAACACGAACTACAGTACTAAGACTTTAATACGCATCAACAAACAACAACAAAAATAGTAGATGAAAAAGATAGAGTGGAGTGTAGAAATAAAACTCTACGTTTACGTTTACGAGGATTTTTTTTCGGATTAATTTATATTTCTGTTTGAATTGGTGGTTTTGATATCTTATAGGTACAAATAAAAAATTTGATGTCAAGGAAGCAAAAATGATCAAAGAGTAACAAAAGAGTTGCAATTAGGAAAATAAAATCAAATTAGAAGAGAGAATCCCTCAACATCTTTTTCAGTGTATATCCACGAAGTCGAGCAGAACTTTTTCATCCGGACTCCAAATCAACTGGTTCCAGGGGCATTAGAAAGCTATTTCAGCTGGCTACAATTCCTATCTAACGAGAAAAATCCAAATTCAGACTCGAACATGGTCAAAATTGGATTCCAAAAGCGATCTTGAAAACACGTACTACAGTTCGAGGACATGAATGCTCATCAAGAAATGTGCACAAAAACACTCGGTAGAAAGATACGCCCATAAGAAAGAGTACAAAAGCATGCACAAAAGTACTCACGCAAATGTGTATTCGCAAAAAGGATCATGAAAACGCAAACTACAATCCTAGGACATTAATACAAATCAACCAACATGCACATGCACACTCGCTCAAATGGACATGCACAAACGTTCATGTAAAAAAACATGCGCAAAAGTGCATTCGCAACAACGTTCTTAAAAATACGAACTACAATACTAAGACTATAATACGCATCAACAAACAGAAACAAAAACAGTAGATAAAAAAGATAAAGTGGAGTGTAGAAATAAAACATTACGTTTACGTTTACGTGGAATTTTTTTTGGATTAATTTATATTTCTGTTTTAATTGGTGGATTTTGTATCTTATGGGTACAATTCAAAAATAACGTGTGCAGGAAGCAAAAATGATCAAAGAAAAGAGTTGCAATTAGGAAAATAAAATCAAATAAGAAGAGAGAATCCCTCAACATCTTTGGTAGTGTACGTCCACGAAGTCGAGCATAACTTTCTCATCTCGACTCCAAATCAACTGGATCTGGCGGCATTAGAAAGCTATTTCAGCTGGCTACAATTCATGTGTAACGGGAAAAATCCAAATTTGGACTCGAACATGGTCAAAATTGGATTCCAAAAGCGATCATGAAAACACGTACTAGAGTTCGAGGACATGAATGCGCATCAAGAAACGTGCACAAAAACACTCGCTAGAAAGATACGCACATAAGTAAGAGTACAAAAGCATGCACAAAAGTACTCACGCAATTGCGCATTCGCAAAAAGGATCATGAAAACGCAAACTACAATCATAGGACATTAATACAAATCAACAAACATGCACAAGCACACTCGCTCAAATGGACATGCACAAACGTACATGTAAAAAAACACGTGCAAAAGTGCATTCGGAACAACGTTCTGAAAAACACGAACTACAATACTAGGACTTTAATACGCATCAACAAACAACAACAAAAACAGTAGATAAAAAAGATAGAGTGGAGTGAAGAAATAAAACTCTACGTTTACGTTTACGTGGATTTTTTGTCGGATTAATTTGTATTTCTATTTTAATTGGTGGATTTGGTATCTTATAGGTACAAATCGAAAATTAGGTTTAGAGGAAGCAAAAATGATCAAAGAAAAAGAAAAGAGTTGCAATTAGGAAAATAAAATCAAATTAGAAGAGAGAATCCCTCAACATCTTTGGTAGTGTACGTCCACGAAGTCGAGCATAACTTTCTCATCCGGACTCTAAATCAACTGGTTCCGGCGGCATTATAAAGCTATTTTAGCTGGCTACAGTTCCTGTCTAACGGCAAAAATCCCAATTCGGACTCGAACAATTCAAACAGAAATATAAATTAATCCGAAAAAAAATCCACGCAAACGTAAACGTAGAGTCTTATTTCTACACTCCGCTGTATCTTTTTTATCTACTGTTTTTGCTGTTGTTTGTTGATGTGTATTAAAGTTCTAGTATTGTAGTTCGTATTTTTAAGAACGTTGTTGCGAATGCACTTTTGCGCATGTTTTTTTACATGTCCATTTGAGCGAGTGTGCTTGTGCATGTTTGTTGATTTGTCTAAATGTCCTAGGATTGTAGTTTGTGTTTTAATGATCCTTTTTGCGAATGCACTCTTGCGTGAGTACTTTTGTGCATAGTTTTGTACTTTTACTTATACGCGGATAATTTCTAGCGAGTGTTTTTGTGCACGTTTCTTGATGCGCATTCATGTCCTCGAACTGTAGTACGTATTTTCATGAT